GGTTCTCAATCACACTCAAAGTTTCTAGGCACTTTTCGATGCCTAGTGTGTATATGAAGTTCAAAGTAATATGAACGGAAAATTAAAGCTTCCTCAATTAAATATATGTTGCATATTGACCATTCGACTATGGCTTTATTCTTAGCATTATTTTTTAATTTATGAAGGTACCTACAATAATATTGAGTTCATTAGACTTAATCAACATTTGACGAGTTATAAAATTATGGATGTCCACTAAAATCATACATTTTTACCTTTCAAATGGATACATCCATCGATATTGTACGAGTCCAGCTATTTTTGCTTCATATGCCAAGTGTACGAGAAGATGTTCCATTAAGTCGAAAAAACTAGGTGGGAAAATACGCTCTAATTTGCACAAGATTATTAGTATATTTTCCTCAAGAAGAATCATATCTTCAACCTTAATCACGGTAGATGTTAATTCCTTAAAGAATAAGCTAAGCTCGGTGAGTGATTGCCATACATTTGTTAGTATCACGAAATGCAATATGTATTAGCCTTTGCATAAATACATGAAAATCATGACTTTTCATGCCATGTAATCCGAGGTTATTCATATCCATACACCTTGCCAAGTTAGAGATATATCCGTCCGAAAACTTTAATTGTTTAATCCATTCTAGTAATTGGATTTTTGGTTGTTTTTCTAGAGTATAACATGGTTTTGGGTATTTTCTAGAGTTTTCATATATTTCTAATTCGGATGGTCGACAATATAGCTTTAAGTCTTCTCTAGAATTTGCATTATCTTTTATTTTTCTCGGGACATTCATAATTGTATTAAACACATTGTCGAATATATTTTTCTCAATATGCATGACATCCAAATTATGACGTATTAAATTAGAACTTTAATAAGGTAGGTCTCAAAATATACTATATTTTTTCCAACCATAATATTTAGATATATTATTATTATACTCATTAGATCCCTCTTTCGTTACTTTCAACAACCCTCAATTGTTTAATTCTTGCAAATTTTCAATTCCGGACTTGGTCGGGGAGCAATGTCCGTAACAATTGAATTTCGCTTGAACACGATCCTATTTTGCTTGAACGGATGGCTTAGTGAGAGAAACTTTTGACGAAAATCAAACCATGAAGTTTTTTTACCGTTTCGGAGGGTGAAAGCATCAAAATTTTTCATACAATACGGGCATGCTATCTTACCTGCAGTACTCCAACCCGATAACATTGAATATGCAAGAAAGTCACTAATTGTCCACATGACAACGACTCTCATCCGAAAATTATTTTTACCGGAGACATCATAAGTAAGGGCACCTATTTCATATAAATCTAGCAACTACTTAATTAAGGGTTGTAAGTATATGTTTAAATTGATTTTAGGGTTTTTAGGACCAGCGACAATAACGATTAAGAACATATATTCTTCTTTTATATATTTCCATGGTGGCAAATTGTAAGTGTTACAATGACGAGCCATGAAGAATATTGTTGTCCGGACTTACCAAAAGGTTGAAACCCATCGGTGCAAAACACCTAATCTAACATTCCTAATTTATGATGTAAAAAAAGGATGTCTTTGGTCAAAATGTCGCCATGCGAAGGAGTTCGAACAATGACGCATGACGTTGGGCTCACACACATGTTGCGCATGCCATGTCATATCATTAGCATTGGCATTTGATGCATATATCCTTTGTAACCGTAGGGTTGTCGGAAAATAACATTTTTTTTGTAGGGGATAAATGTTTGTCTAATCGACCCTCGCCTAGGATTTCGATATCAAGGATGATCACATATTTTACAAGTGATTCTCTCACCGTCCGGACCCCAATAAATCATGCAACCATTAATGCAACAATGGATCTTTTCAACGGGTAAACCCATCATTTCTATCATTTTTTTGTACTATAAAAGTCTTCTAGCATGCAGTTATCGAGAGGCATCAACTCTTTCATAAGTTGACATAAATCGTCGTAACACCTCTCCAAAAAATGATACTCGGACTTGAGATGCAACAAATGAGACATTGCGGATAACTGCGAATGGTTGTTTGACCCAAACCATATTTCTCTATTCGATACATCTAATAAATCATAAAATGCTTGTGCGGAAGGGTTTAGGTCTTCGTCTATATTAGACGAATTAAAAGATGGACCAATTGCATCCATCACCATTGTGTGGTATTGATTAACTTGATGATCATCACATATTTATTCTTGTTCAATATTATTTAACAAATTGTCATTAATTGCTAAATAATTCTCTTCATGATGTTTCCACACATAATACCCAAACACAAACCTATATCTCAAGCAAATGATACTTAACGAGTATCGAGCTTTCATTAATACGATTTTGATATTTTTTTTTGTTTACATGGACATCGTATCTTATTTCCATCCATGCACCGTGGATGACTAACCGCAAAATTAATAAATTCATTAATCTCTTCTACAAAACGCTCATTTAATAATCCACCAGTTAATCTAAAGTCAATCCAAGAGCAATCCGAATTCATTTTAAACAAAATATTAATCAAGTAATTGTATTAATTTTTTTGTAATTACTTAAAACACTTTTATTACTATATCTCAAATATTTTTTTGTTACACACAAGTTATTTTTTAAATAAACAAGCTAAGTTTATATCAAATTTTTAAATACAACTTAATTATTTATTTAATTAATAACAATTACAAATATTTCTAATAACTTTATTTTTTATCTATTTAATATACTTTCAAAAAAACTAAAAAAATTTTAATAATGTAATAAAACTATATTCAATAAGTATATATTAATTTGATTAATACCACTTATTTTTAAAATTAATTAATATGCATTTAACATATTTGTCATAACTTAATTTTTTATCTATTGAAAACAATTTCAAAAAAATGATATATTTTTTCTTCTTAATTAATATTGTAATTACTTATCTATTTAACTAAATGAACAACTAAATATATAAGCTTAATATTTAATCAACAAAATAACAATATATTACAATTTAATTAATATTTAATTTATTGATTAATTTTGTACTTACCTAATGCTTTAACTTAATGAACTAGTACTAAATAAACTTAATAATGTTTTCAATAAATTTTTAATCACTTAAGTAAATTAACAATTAACAGACTACACTAATAATAATAACAATAACAATTAAAATAACAACATAAAATAAATTTTAACAATTATATTTTCTAACTAAAAAAATTAACAATAAATTAAACTAAGTAAATTCACAATTAACAATCAAATTAATTCAATCAACAACTAAAAATAAAAATAACAATAAAATTAAAAATTAAAAATAATATTCAATTAATCAAGAATTAACAACAACATTAACATAACAATTAACAATTAATATTAAATTAAATATTAAATATTTCAATTAACTATCACAATTTACACTAAAATAACACAACTAAATTTCAATTAAATAATCAAGTTAAAAAAACACATGCAATAAAGAATCGGTTCAATAATTAAACTAACAATAATAAGTAATTAAACAAAAAAAAAATTTTAAAATATTTTACTTAAATAAATAACTGAAAAAATTAAAAATTGAAAGGAGGGATTAAATTTAGGTAGACTCGTCACCAAGAGAAGGATGAGAGGGGGCAGTGCCACCGAGTGAGACCTCGTCGGAGTTTGGTTGCCAAAAAACGGCAAGTTGAATGGTAGAGAGAAAGATTGAAAGGAGGAGGAAAAGAGGAAAGAAAGAGGGAGATTTTTAGGATACAAAAGCTTTGAGGAAAGAGAGGAGAAGTTTAGAGCAAAAAAATGGCAAATCTAGTCACTACCGAAGGAGAAAAAGAGAGCATTATTTGCAAGAGAGAGAATTCCAGATTTTGGTTCGATCGGAACTTTTAAAAGGTAAATTTTTTAACGATGGTCACGGATCGTCGCTAATAATAAATTTAAAATTAAATTTGACCGTTTCCCACCAACGGTTTAATTTTAGCGACGGTTTAGCAACGGTCTATGACCGTCACTAATTATTTTTGGAAAACCGTTGAAAAACATAAATTTAATTATGTTAGAAATGGTTTAGTGATGGCCTAGACCAACGATTTAGCGACGGCCTAAACGAACGGTTTAGCGACGATCCTTGACCGTCGCTAAACCGAATATTTTGCAACGGTTTGAGGATATCAAACCGTTGCTAATCTGAGTATTTACCTTCGTTTCAGACCGAGCCCAATTGCTAACGGAGTAGCGACGGTTCGGGACTATCGCTAAGCTGTTTAATTTTTTTTGCAATGGTTTTTTTGTAGAAAACCATTGTTAAAATATTAAATTATCGTTAGCAATGGGTTTTGACCGTCGCTAAACCCAATTTGTTGAACAACATGTTCAAATCACGGATGGTTTTTTTTATGCATTTATCTCCTTAGCAACGGTCTACCAATGGGGTGGACCGTTGCTAAATTTGCAACGGTTTATTTTTCATGGAAACCGTCGCTAAAACGGTTAACCTTTCAAAGTAGCAACGGATTGTAGACCATTGCTAAAAAACGATCACAAATTAAAACATTTGTAATCGTTTTTTAGACCGTCGCTAAAATCGAGTAAAACCGTTGCTAATTTTAGTAATTAGCAACGATTTTTTTACCGTCGCTAATAAATGTTTTTCTTGTAGTGAATTTAGTATGAGAAAAACATAAAAAAGACAACATAATTATTTAGTTTTTTCTGTTAATTATCACATCATCATTACACAAAAAAAACTAAAAAAAAAAAAATTTGATATACTGAAACGAAAAAGTAAAAATAAAAATTAATGCATTCGATTGAGAAAATATTCAAAATTAATGTACTTGTTATGTAGTTTTTTCAATAAAAAATTCATAACTCTGAATATTAATGTTTAATGGAACCAAACAAAAGGCTCAGATGTGAGCCTGTACTAAAACTAATTACTATCATACAAAATTAAAATATATAAAAAACTCATGAGAAAAAAAAAAAAGGGGGATAAACCAGAACTAATCAACTAGTATGATTGAGATTGATCCATCGAGGGCTTTACTCTCTGCTTCACCCTCACAATCAGTACCAGTAAGCTCTCTGGCACGATTTGTCTGCAGTTTCCAATCTGTTCTTGTTAACACCACCAGCATGACAATAGCACAAACAGCTTGGGCTGCTAGTAAGCCCAACCAGAGGCCGAACAAGCCCAAACCCATAGCGATACCCATCAACATAGCCACAGGCAATCCAACACCATAGAAGGAACCCAAATTTATGTTGGCACCAAGAGTTGGCCTAGCACTGCCCCTCAACACCCCACAACCGGTGGTCTGTGGGCAGTTCCCTAGCTCACAGAGCCCAACCACCGGCATTGCAGTTGCTGTTAGTGACAATATGGCTTTATCAGTTGTAAAAAGTTGCCCCCAAGCATGCCTCATTGATTTCATGAAAAACATGGCGATAATACTCATCAAAATGGCACATGATAATGCGATTATAGAGGACGTTTTGGCTTTGTTGGGCTGGTTTGCCCCTAACTCATTGCCAACTCGAGTTGACACGGCAAGGCTAAGTGCCGAAGGGAAGATATAGACTAGAGAAGTTGCTTGTATTAGAATTCCCATAGTGGCAACTGCCTCCGGCGCATTTGCAAGGAGTCCTGACAGGACTATCATAAGCTCATACCACCACCATTCTAAGCACACAGAGATGCAACTAGGGATGGCTAGGCTAAGAATTGGCTTCCATTCATCGAAGCATTGAAGGGACCAGCCTTGCCATGACTTTCTACAGGTGCCAGAGAAGCAAAGGTAAAGAAAAAGGGCTGCGAGAAGATTCAAGTCTGTTATGGTTACTGCAACAGCAATGCCTTGAATGCCAAGGCTGAAACGATAAGCAAGGATATAACTGATAGGGGCATGAAGAGCTAGTGCAAAAGCTGAACTGAGCATGAGTGGGAGGGTTATGTTTTGGGTTCTTAGGTAGATTTTGAGAGGGTTAATGAAAGATTGAAGGAGTAGATCTGGTAGTGAAAATGCAAGGTAAGTGGAGGCAATTGAAGAGATGGCTCGGTCTTGGCCACAGAAGATAAGGACAGGTTCAAAGTTTAGCCATAGAAGAGAAATGGGTATGCATGCCAAGATGAGAATTGCTATCGTTTGTTGAAGGGTTTGGCCCATGAGAGGCCATTGCTTGGCTCCACAGGCTTGAGATGAGATGGCCTCCATGCCCATAGCAAGGCCGGAAATGACAGAGTAGCCGGTGATGTTTGCTATGCCAATGGAGAGAGACCCTCCTGCTAAAGCCTCTTTCCCTAATTTTCCCATGAAAAGCATAGATATGGCAGATTTTCCATATATGAGTAGGCCGGTGATGATCATAGGAAAAGCTATGGTATAAAGCGCTTTGATCTCTTCAACCACCTGAAAGAGACACAAAAGAGAAACAAATGGAGTTTTGAATTCTTTAGTTCAACCCACGAAAACAACTGCAAAGAATACAAACAAACGTACAAGAATTGACTGGCGTCATTGAAACTAACCTGGGAAAGGGAAGGACGTCGCCACGCTTGATCATTGCAGTGAAGAGAATCTTGTTTATCTGATAACACATTCTTATCACTTCCAAACAATTGTCTTGATTTTTGACAGCTATAATGCCCTAACAGAGGAATTGAAGCTGAAATCCCTTCATCATTCATTTTTCAGAAAAATAAAGATTTGTCTTCAGCTCAAATGTCTAAGTAAGGGTATTTCTGGGGTGACAGTACTTAGAAGATTTAAGTTGTGTTATCGGAGAACATCCTTTTCTTAATTCCTTGTACTCACTAATATATATATATATATATATATATATATATATATATATAGTTCAGTACTCAGTCACAGCCTCTCTGTAATCTCTCTCTCACTTAAATGCGACTCTAGCTACTTTAGTTTTTCTTGTGGTTTTCTCTCTCTATTTATCACTAGATCATCAGAGGTTTAGTTAGGGTTTGGTGGTGAAGAATGGACGAGTGTAAGGAAGATAAGGAGGAGGGGAGGTGGCCATGCGGGTGGCTCGCTCGTCCTTTTCTCCAAGGGTTCGTCGGGACTCTAAAACTAAAACAACATACAGAATTTCTTGGTTTTTTCCTTTCTACTAATCATAATTATAAAAGAATGAAATTATATACCTTCACTGGCAAAAAGTTGTTGGCAGCCCCTCCAAAATCCAAATGCCAAACATGGAAAGCTGTCAACACATCATCAAGATGAGTTTAATGCCCAAAACAGCCATTTTTTCTGCTAATTTCATGGTCCTACTTGCACACACCCCCACCATCTGAAAAATAAGAAAGCCAAAGGCTAGATGTGGCCCACATTTCATTTTTGGTGGGTCCAAGTCTTTAGGGTTAAATGGGTCGGGCTTTCTCACCTTTATGAATCGTAATTCATAGGTTGCTTGCACGTGTGTGCTGCACTTGCCACGTGGCTTTGTATAGCCATGCAATGCATGAAATCAATAAGTTAGCTAAAAAAATCTGTTCGATTTCAAGTATATGTATACGCAGAAAATATCTGTTTTGTGTATTAGATCGAAACAATAAAAGATTAGGTTTTGGTGATTTAATATCACCCAAGATACTTTTTGTATTCGTACGGTAGATGCAGAAGCAAAGTCCTACCAAGGGTTCGGATTTTGTGCTTCGAACATCGTTCACGCACGCTTGGTTTTGACTAAAAGCCACTGGCAGAGGGTGGCAGCCTGGCACTTTTGCCATTTGCCACGAGAATGAGGTGGTTTCTTCTGATTCTGTTGCCAAATGCAGTCTCTTTCTGTAGCCCAGGCCAGCTATACAAGATACCATTTATATTTACAGTGTATAAGAACAGCAGATGATGTGTCGAATTTCCTTCTGAGGCACCTCAACCTTGTACAAGGCCTCAATGATTCTCATCTTCCCAGATACAAACCACATGCCCATAGATTTTATTTCTCACCACATAACTTTGAATCTGCACCTTCACATTCCATGTGACATAAAGTTACAAAGACTAAAAGAAGAAAATTTTTACGAGTGGACTTAGAAAAAATTGGGTCAAAACTGGAATATAAAAATAAAACCACTGTCAAGTCATGAAACCAACTCTCTTTATCTGACTGCTAGCTATTTGTGAATAATAGCATACTGTTTTTGAGTAATCAGTCATCCAGACTGCCTCCTGTTTATTGTGAACAGCTTTAAGATATTGTTTCTTATTCAGAAATATAGAATGATGAAAATAAGAATAAACGAATCGAAATGAAAATTAAGAAATCAAAATAGTAATTATATTTTAATACTGTATTTGAAATATTAATACGAAATTAAAATACAATTTAAAATTTTTGAATATTTAAATTTTTATATAAATAAAAATAATGATTAAAAAATAATTTTATTAAATTATATTAGTTATAAAAATAATAAAGGTGATAGTGGTGATTGTGGTTATGATAGTGGTGGTGGTGGTGGTGGTAATGATTGCGGTAGTGGTGATGATGGTAGTGGTGATTGTTGTGATGGTGATGATGAAGGTGGTAGTGATAGTTGTGATGGTGATGATGATTGTGGTCGTGATCGTGATAATGATAATAGTGGTGGTGGTTGTGATGGTGATGATAATGGTGGTGATGGTTGTGATGGCGGTAGTGATGGTAATGATAGTAAAAATAATTAATAAATAATAAATAAATAAAATATATTATTATTTTTAAAAAAATTCATTTCCATTTCTTATTTTTATTTCCACATCTTATGTAAGAATTGAAGTTGTGTGTAAATTATTATTCCTATTCTCACTCTTCATTCTCATTCCTATTTCATTTCTTTTAATCAAACAGCTACAATGTAAAAATAAAATTTTTATTCTCATTTCTATCACTTTATTTCTGATTACCAAACATCACCTAAGAGTTTAAGCCTTAGAAGAGAACCAAAAAAGTATCTTCTCTGCTGTTATCCTTTCGGCTACCTTAGCAATCATTCTCGTGGGTGGAAACAGTCAACAAACAATTCGGATTGGGCATGGGATTACCATTGAACTACTCTTTCCCTTCAAGACACATGCTAATTAACCTACTATGGGCGCCTAAAACCAATGGTTTCCCTCTCATCGGTAACATGGACCATGACAAATGGCCTATAGCCACACCTTGAGCTTCATATCTTTTTCTAATTAGGAAATACCCGTATGTCGTTGGGACATAGCCTATTTAATTTATACAGCAAAACAGTAACTTAATAAATGTACGTATATACAACGTATACAACAACGAGTCACTTCTGTCTCCTTTCTACCATTCGAATAGGCATGGCTTCCCCCTATTGAAGGGCTCCAATTTTAGAGAGATGCTGACTGAACTTTTAAAGGTTCCTTGCCGAAAATGGGCAGGCATTGGCATTGGAAGTTCACGTGAATAAATGCTTCAAAAACTTCTACCACGTTGTAGTGACCCACTGCTATCAATCATTGATTTTCAAACTTCCAGAGCTTTCACATTAATAAATTATAAATTAGTCCTAATTTTTCAAAACCAATTAAATAATCTCTTTAGTTTTAAAAATTAACTAATTAGATTTTTTTAAAAAAAAATCTGTTTCTAACTTAATACTTTTATTTATTTTTTCAATGTATTTTGATTTTCTTTTTCTTTATCTTAAGAAAAAGAAAAAAATATAAGAAAAGAAGATTTTTTTAGAATAAAATAACATTAAATTAATTATGATCCATACTAATCTAGAGACTAACTTCTTAGTTTTTGAATATATATATATATTATTTAATTTATTTTGCAAAACTATAAAGACTAATTTATAATTTACTCACTTTCACATTGGGAACCGTCAATATGTTGATTCATGCGTAACATTACCCAGCATATCAACTACGTGATGCAGACTTGTTTAAACGAGGGTCTAAGATCTAAAAGTTGGTGTTCTTAAGAAAAATCACTTTTACAATAACCTTATCAGAGGATAGGATCAATCAACTTGCGGTAGCTCTCTCCTAACAGTTTCAACCCTTAATCAAGGAGAAAATATGAAGAGAAAAAACTACCCTTCCTTGAATAGGGATAGAACTCCCACTAATGCAGTGAAAATGCAACACGAGAAGTGAAAGTACAATAGCTCTAATATGCAATCAGATTCCGACGATAATAAAGGACCACTTCTTAATGTCAACTTAATCATATACGTAGATGCATATATATTATCTGCCCACTTCGTATGAATTTCTTATGACCTTGTACGTTATTAGATTTCATGAGTATGCTCATCCAAATCTACGTTCATGGGCAATAGGTGCGGACCGGGACCATCCGTTGGGTCCTAAAGCCAGATTTACTTGAACCTAAGATATTCTAGGCTGTACAAGAGTAAGAGCTTGTCTCTGTCCATACTGTTTGAATGCAACATATAACGTCTGACATTGTAGCAGAACACGTTAGTGGGTCAGGATCCTGATATTGACATGAATTTCATAACTATATTAAGTTACGAACCCATACTAATATACTTTCAGAGCATAGTTTATGATTAGCAAACTTGAAGACGATAAGCTTGAATTTTGCCCAACTGATTAATATATTTCTAGTCAAAACTCAATCGCAAAATCCCAAAAAAATGACAGACTTCAATACATCAGACAGCATAGTTTTTGACATATCCGATAAGATGATAAGTTTGTTATGATACAGTAGGATTCTAACATTCAATATTTAAACTATAGCTATAGATAAAATAGTACTCTACAATTCAATATTCAAACTACTTTATTTGTAATTTTAATTGCTTCCTTATATATATATATATATGTGTTACAAAAATAAAAAATAAAAAATCTGAAATTGTCACTATTCATTTAGTGCATATATAGACTCATAAACACTGTATTTTGCAACTCAATTGCAACTCTCACTATAACAAATTTTGAATTTAGCTACGAAACTTTTTCCTACGAATTTATTTTGGTCTCAAATACGAATATTTCTTGACGAAATACATATTTCATCCTTAAATCACTAACCCTCAATTTTTCACCCCATGCCCAGCTTTTTGTGTGCACGAGTTTTTGTGTGCACCTCTTGTGGAAACAAATTATTTTGGGACGAATTGTAATATTTTGAGATGAAACTATATGTCTTAAAATTTAAACTTATTTAAGGACATAACTTATTTATCCATAAAATTAAATATCCGTTAGGGATGAAAAACTAAGTTGTCTCAAAAAATTCAATATCTATAAGGGATGAAACTAAGTCGTTTCACATGGTTAAATATCAATTAGGGATGAAAAAGTAAGTCATCTCACATGGTTAAATATCAATTAGGAATGAAATTAAGTCATTCCGGATGGTTAAATATGAATTAGGGACGAAATTAAGTCGTCCCACATGGTTACCTTTTTTTTTTTTTTTTTTTTGAGGGGGATGGACTAGAGTCGATGCACCCAACCTCTCAACCCATGTCCCTCATTTGGCTAGCCCTTAAAGGTTGAAAACACCCAAAATCAATCTCCTTAAATTTTTTAGATCAAACTCCCTCTTTCTCTTTTTTCTCTCTTCTTCTCTCCCGATTTCACTCTCTTTCTTCCTCTCCCTTCTCTCTTCTTCTTCCCTCTCTCTCTCTCTCTCTCGCCTCATCTCCATGGACGAACCATTTTAACCCTCTATTTC